AATATTATCTCAGGATAAAAGATGTATAAGCAAATGCTTTGATGGCTTTTGTGAACCTTTTGATGAATAGTAATCACTTGCTTACACCTCATAAATATTTTGGTATGAGACCCTGATTGCAATTGTCCTAGGGTATTAATCTGTCTGGTGTGCTTTCTGATTATTATAATATAGACTTTTTTAAGTTAACAGGAGCCTGCTGTGTTGTCCAAAACCTTTCATCTTTAAAGATCTGAGATGGTTTCTTGCGTGTTGTGTTACTCTTCATATTTACAATGGATAATTTGTGCCATATGACCTTAGATGTCTTTAAATCAAATGCAATTCTTCCCTGGTTGGATATAGGGTGCATTGGATGGTGGACTTGATATTCCTCACAGTGAGAAGAGGTTCGCTGGATTCAGCAAGGATTCCAAGCAACTTGATGCTGATGTTCACCGCAAGTACATATATGGTGGCCACGTTGCTACATATATGCAGGTAAATAGAATGGTTGTATGGAGTCCTTTTATAGTTTACTATCATCATCAAATTTATAGAAATGCATAGTTGAGTATTATCTATGTTATTTCTTCATCTAGGTACACCCCATTGTCTATTATGCTAAATCTCTTCCTTCTATCTGTAGACTCTAATTGAAGATGAACCAGAGAAATATCAGACACACTTTAGTCAGTACATCAAAAAGGGTTTTGAGGCTGATGGCCTTGAGGAGATGTACAAGAAGGTTCATGCTGCCATTCGTGCTGATCCAAGCCCAAAGAAATCTGAGAAGCAACCTCCTAAACAGCACAAGAGGTATAAACTTCTCTTTAGATTTATCTCGTTCTCATTTTTATCAGAAAAAAATTCCTTGCATTGGGATGTATTGAAGTTCTCAAGCATTTTACTTAATGGGTTGGGTGGTGGATTTATGATTACCTTTTGTTATTGAATATGAAATATGCTTTTGATGCTCATCCTGATTCTTCATTTCTAGAATGCCATGTAGGAAAAACTATGACCTGTCTTCTGCCTGCAGCAATTAGTATGCTTATATCTTGTTTTCCTGTATCCCTATATGACTTATTCAAGGTTATAGGAAAATGTTAATTCTCTTTTCCTCGATGCTTCTTTTTCTGCATATTCATTTTTTGATACTTTTGCAGGTATAATCTGAAGAAGCTAACATACGAGGAAAGGAAGGCTAAGTTGATTGAGAGACTGAATGCTTTGAATTCAGCTGCTGGAAATGACGATGATGATGAGGATGACGAGTAAACAGCAGTGCAAGAGTCCTGAAATATTATTGTTGCTTATGCTCTTTTTATACTCTGTTTTTTTCTTCTTTATTGAGATCTCAGTTTTGCATGCTCTGTAGAATGATAATTTACCAATTTGAATGTCCTAAAATTTTATACTCAGCCTGATAAATCTGGCATGGAGTGTTGCATTATGTCACTTGCAAGGTAACCTTGCCTACTTGTTATTGCCTTGCCAATGGCAATGTGTTTGTAGCGTTAATGTCTAGGCAATTTCTTCACTAATTGATTCTAGGTGCTGGTATGTGTGTTGAATGTTGTCTTGTCTAGTTTTGTTGTGTGCCTTTTCTTCTATAAGTTCTTTTTTGTTTTGCTTATAGAATACGTCTCTTATTTGTCTTTCAATGTGTTATATTTTAGCTTTCTTCTGGTGGATACTACGGCCACTAATTAAGTGGTGTTCATGATCTTGTAATTGAATCTTGTATGGTGTCTTCCAGTTACGAAAGCCAAATAATTATTAACTACGAAATTGTCAAATATATCTCATTACCACCATCAGCAATGGTTCAAATTTATATAAAAACACGATGTAGTTAGAAATCTTAAATTCTGAATACACTCTACAATCTCACCCCAAATCCCTTTGTAAAATTTGCTGTAAATGATGAATGTATTGTTATTTATTGTTGACATAATGTCACCGTCCAAGTAATGAAAGTACAGAAAAAATGAAAAAAATATCAACGGAAAACCCCAACTTTTGTTGATTAGGCAATGATTTTAACCGACAATCCTTGTTGTATGAAGCTGGAACACCCGCCAAAGCATGATTTTAAAAGTTGATGGCATGTATTTCGTGCTGTTTCATCAACAGTTGGATATAAATGGATGGAACATCGCCCTGGACGATTTACAACACTTGCAGCAGCAGCAAACCAAATGCACCCAAACAACTACAGGAGAACTTTTTCCCATATATACCAAGAATGTGCGAAACATTGCACTCAGCAACCAGGCAGGCAAGCTCATGCTCGGATGATAATTTCTGGGTTTCAACCCACTGTTTTCGTCACCAATTGTTTGATTCAGATGTACGTAAAATGCTCCAATTTGGGTTATGCTGATAAAGTGTTTGATAAAATGCCTCTAAGAGATACGGTTTCTTGGAATGCCATGATTTTTGGGTATTCCATGGTAAGTGAATTGGACAAGGCACAATTAATGTTTGATTTGACGCCTGAAAGAGATGCAATTTCATGGAATTCTTTGATTTCCGGGTATATGCAAAATCGTAATTATGGGAAATCTATTCAAACTTTTCTTGAAATGGGAAGAGATGGTATTGCTTTTGATAGAACAACTTTTGCTGTTATTTTGAAAGCTTGTTCGGGTATTGAAGATTCTTGGTTAGGGATGCAGGTGCATGGGTTAGTCGTCAGGTTAGGTCTTGCTACTGATGTGGTGACGGGGAGTGCAATGGTGGATATGTATTCGAAATGCAAGAGATTGGATGAGTCGATATGTTTCTTCAATGAGATGCCTGAGAAGAACTGGGTTTCTTGGAGTGCTCTGATAGCAGGTTGCGTTCAAAATAATAAGTTTTCTGATGGATTACACCTCTTCAAGAATATGCAAAAAGGAGGAGTAGGAGTGAGTCAATCTACTTATGCTAGTGTCTTCAGGTCTTGTGCCGGGTTATCAGACTTAAAATTGGGTTCTCAATTGCACGGTCATGCATTGAAAACTGATTTTGGATACGATGTCATTGTAGCTACTGCCACTTTGGACATGTATGCCAAATGTAACAGTTTGTCTGATGCTAGGAAGGTATTCAACTGGTTGCCAAACCATAATTTACAATCTTATAATGCCTTGATTGTTGGGTTTGCTCGAGGTGATCAAGGATATGAAGCTGTAATACTATTCCGGCTTTTGCTGAAGTCTTATCTTGGGTTTGATGAAATAAGCTTATCTGGTGTATTTAGTGCATGTGCTGTATTCAAAGGGCGTTTAGAGGGAATGCAGCTACATGGGGTAGCTTGTAAGACCCCCTTTTTGTCCAATGTTTGTGTCGCAAATGCCATTATGGACATGTATGGCAAATGCGAAGCACCACAAGAAGCTCTACGTTTGTTTGACGAAATGGAAATAAGAGATGCAGTGTCTTGGAATGCTATAATTGCAGCTTACGAGCAGAATGGACACGAGGATGAAACTTTGATACTATTTTTCCGGATGCTTAAGTCAAGGATGGAACCAGATGAATTCACTTATGGTAGCGTTTTAAAGGCCTGTGCAGCTCGTCAAGATTTTAACACTGGCATGGTGATCCACAACAGGATCATAAAATCAGGGATGGGGTTGGAGTGCTTCATTGGGAGTGCTGTAATAGATATGTACTGTAAATGTGAAAAGGTAGAAGAGGCAGAGAAACTCCACGAGAGAATGAAGGAACAGACAATCGTTTCTTGGAATGCAATCATATCGGGGTTCTCATTGTGTGAACAAAGTGAGGAAGCTCAGAAATTCTTCTCTAGAATGCTGGAAGAGGGAGTAAAACCTGATAACTTTACCTTTGCAACAGTTCTTGATACCTGTGCCAATCTAGCTACTGTTGGGCTCGGAAAGCAAATTCATGCTCAAATTATAAAGCAAGAATTGCAATCAGATGTGTTTATAACTAGCACTCTTGTTGACATGTACTCGAAATGTGGGAACATGCAGGATTCTAGGTTGATGTTTGAAAAAGCACCAAAAAAGGATTTTGTCACATGGAATGCTCTGGTTTGTGGCTATGCACAACATGGTCTTGGAGAAGAGGCTTTGCAGATCTTTGAAAAGATGCAGCTTGAGGATGTAAGACCAAATCATGCAACTTTTCTTGCAGTCTTAAGAGCTTGTGCACATATAGGACTTGTTGAAAAAGGACTGCAACACTTCAATTCAATGTCGAATAACTATGGATTAGATCCTCAATTAGAACATTACTCATGTATGGTTGACATATTAGGGAGGGCGGGGCAAATTAGTGATGCACTGAAGCTTATTCAAGACATGCCTATTGAGGCTGATGATGTGATTTGGAGAACTCTGCTTAGTATGTGTAAGATGCACAGGAATGTGGAGGTAGCAGAAAAAGCAGCAAAGTGTCTCTTGGAATTAGACCCTGAGGACTCGTCTTCTCACATACTTTTGTCAAATATTTATGCTGCTGCAGGAATGTGGAAAGAAGTTTCTGAAATGAGGAAAGTGATGAGGTATGGTGGGCTCAAGAAGGAGCCAGGTTGTAGCTGGATTGAGATCAAGTCTGTGCTACACATGTTCCTTGTTGGTGATAAAGCCCATCCAAGATGCAACGAGATATATGACAACCTTGATGCATTGATATGTGAAATGAAGAGAACTTCTCAAATACTAGATAATGAACTTCTGCTCAGCTGTGAAGCTACAGAAGATGAGCTCTGATATCCATTTTCCGTATGCAGAGTTTATTGGCTGTAGACCAATTCAGTTTGAACATAGGATGGTTATTGATGGAGGTATGCAAGGGAAAGAAGCTTCGCTTCATGTTGACCCAAGGAAAAGCTTGGGCCAGCTTGGGATATCCGAGGGAGATATTAAGTTGTATGTGGTTGGTCACTGGACTTCATTTGAATATCGTCAGTTTACCAAATTACATGCACAGAACACTGAGTATATTTAGAGACAACAGTACTGTTTGACAAAATGCACTTGTGCTGGTAGGAGGAAATGAAATGATTGGGGAAATTGTCCTCCAGATTTATTCACGAAAAAGAATTGCTTCAAAAAGACAATTTACAGAAAATTAGAAACTGTAAAAATGGTTGGGACTGTAGTATTGGGTTTTCAACTATATTATTTATCTGAGGGATTTCAGTCTCCTGATTCTTGGGAAAACTTAAACATGGATGAAGCAACTGTTTTGGCTTAATGAAGAGATGTGTTTTGGTGCTCGACATAGAGTTGTTTACCATACTTTTCTGGAGTTCCATCTGTTTTATATACTGTAATCTCTACCCTTTTGGGGAAAGTCCCTCTTTTCCTAACAATGAACAACATAACAACAGTCGTTTAGTTGGTTTGCATTTTGCAGGTAGAATACTTAACTTTCATAGAAAGGAACCATACAATAAAGCAAAAAATTAAACAATTCTCGCTGAGATGCAAATGACCAGTAACTTACACCAACATCATCTCATAATCTTTACAAGAAGAATGTATAGCTTATAAATACCAAGCTGAATGCTAAACATCTTCGCAAAGCAATAAGGATCTGATCTTATAAACCCTGTAAAATTTACCTGATCAAATTGACTTAGACCATGGGGAACTGCTGTAAGACTATCACTCAGATAAAAAATCTGCCGTTGTGTTGTCAAGCCCTGTGAAACCAAAAGAAAAAGTCAAGAAACTTTCAAGTGCTGAACCCAAAATGGAAAAATTTATGCCCCTTTTTTGAGCAAATATGTGCTTCCATACTCCTAATCTGATCTTGATAATTACACTTTCTAGGGTCGACAGATAACTCGTGGGGTTTAACTTTGAGTTGGGAGTCCAGCTACCTTCTCAGATAAATGCAAAAATCAATAGTAAGTGAACTGCAAAGCAAAGCTTGAGACCGAACCCAGCCACTTGTTTGTTACCTTCAGAGAACCAAGAGTAAGCTTCTTAAAAAGATGAAAAATAGCCAATGGCAGGGACTGTTCAAGAGGAGATTAGGAGAGCAAGGGATGAAACAAAAAAATATACACATATTCTCCTCTTTACTCTGTTAACAGATAAAAAAGTAATATCTTCCAATATATTTTCTTGGATATAACTAGTAGGTCAAATTCATGTTTTCTTTGTATTTGTTTGATTGATAGGTCAACATGTAAACTCATAACCAAGTAAAATATTTATACAAAATAAGGAGATTTAGAAAACAATGATGCTTAGACCATTTGTAGGCTAGGCTAAGCAGGCATAGACAACTTTTAGATGCTTCGGTTTTGATCAAGAAGGAACTGTGACCACAAAAATAGTCATTTTGTTGCTCGTTTGTGTGTAACAAGGCTACAGAACTGCATACTGGTGGGCTAATCATCTTACAAAATAGAGCATTGTGCGAAACAACAGAACATGATGACATTTGACTTCCAAAAATGTCATATTAGTTGATCGGATCACAAACTGATCAATCTTTAATTCATCCAGTTGAACTAATCTAATTAGATAAAGATGGGCACCCAGATTGTGTGGAAGTGAACTTACCCCCTGATCCATTTACTACTGGCAAGCTGACATACTGAGGACATGACCCAGAAGAGACTCTACCACTTTTGATGATAGAACCACTTGCACAATCACGAGGCTGTAAAAGAGAAAGGAATTGAGAACCATATTCACATTAATGATAGAAATTGAATGATAGAAATTGGAGCTTTGGGGGTGATAGTCTCACAATATACAATCAGACATGTTTTGGTATTAAATTAAACAATAGATAGACGATAGTTTGACATAAAATTAACCAAGCAGCGATTAAAAAAAAAGAATTAAGGAGTCCTTTTATCTGCTAGCGATAAGATAAAAGAAATCGGAATGGAAGAACTGAATCGTCCACTTAGATTTGGACAAGCAAAGAAGTTAACTGCAAATACTGGTTGCACTATTGGAGTAAACATTAATTCTTGTCATGGACTAACAATGACATACATCTTAAATGAGGCGATAAATAGGGAATTTTTGGGGATGAAAAACTGACAATTTACAATAAGACATGTTTTTGTTAGTAACTTAAGCAATATACAATTAGATATAAGATTATCCAAGCAGATATTTAGAACTAAGAAGTCTGTCTTATCTGCAAACATGTAAGACGCATGAATTCAGAATGAAGGAGTGAATCATCCACTTCTAGATTCTATACTCGTGATATCTACTTATTAAATTTGGACAAGGAAAGAAGTTAACACCAGACACAAGTGCATCATTGAAGGACATACTAATTTATATCCTACACTACACAATGTCAGACATCTTAAACGAGGTCATCTACAAAATGGAAGTAGTGGGGATGATAATCTGACAATATATAACTAGACACGTTTTGATATCAAATTACACAAAAGAATATTAGACATAAGATTAACCAAGCAGAGATTTAGATTAAGATGTCTGCTTTATTTGCTAATATGTAACTTAAGAATTAAGATGAATGAACTTGGAAAGTAAGTACATAATCACCCATCTCTAAATTGCACACTCACGATATCTACATGATAGATTTGTACAAAGAAAGGAAGTGACAACAAACAAGGAGTGCATTATTGAAAGACATAATAATGATTTCGTTGCCTAAATAATGACAAACATCTTAAATGAGGCCATCCATTTCAATTAGAGGATTAGAGAGAACCAACCTGTAAATCCTTATAGAAGCATATTCTTAGTTCCTCCACCGCATCGCCTGAGCATATCAACTCTGGAGTTGCATGAAAGGCATTTTGAATGGCTGAAATGATGCCTCCCAGTGGATATTTCTCAGAATTTGAGGGTACATACCCGGCTTCAAACAGAATTCCCTGGTTAATTTCAATTTTTGAGTACATCAGTAGTGGACTCAACTACCAGGCAACCACACTATGTAATTATATTTTTTAAGAGGAACAACATATAACTTTTCAACCAAATGAAATGAAGCTGTAGTGACATTTCAAAAAGAAAAAAAAAACATCTGAACATGGAATGCTAAAGGAATGTTAAGTGATCCAATTCTTAACATATCCAGAAAGTTATGATGCAGTTTATTAAGAAAAAATTCATCACAGATGATGGGAAAGTGATCAGTTTTTCAGTATAATAAAGTCCAACTGCTAACTCTCTTGGTATATTTTGCATCTAAGGATACTCTAATGAGTAGTAAGTTATTGCAATGAAATTAATTCCAGAAGGCTGTTGTAAATGTAACCACAATCTTGTATATCTCATATTGTCGACGATCATCCATTTAAAAGTTTACATTGACCAAGGGGAATTTTCTTAGGAAAGATATCGATAACATATGTGATTTTAAGTTTTGACATAAATTATTAGCCAAGATATTCAAGATGAGCTATTAAGCTGCTGTTGTATCTGACACATAAAACAATTTCTTTGCCCCAGTACTGAATATATGCAAATAAGAACCAAGAACAACATACCCAGTGAAATCCCACTAGGTGGGGTTTGGGATGCAAATAAGAACCAATTCAAAGGTTAAATCTTATAGAAAATACACAAGGCAAAGTTTATTGGAGTAAATAAATAGAATAACAATCAACTTACAGTGACGTTATATTTGAAGTAAACATTCAAAGTCATCAGGAAGTACTCATACTCATCGTGGACAACTGGATAAGAACATGTCCCGTGTTTTTCTGCGAACGATGACATAAAATTATGAAAGATCACACTACATACAAAAGAAACATCTACTAGTCTGACTTTTGTCTCTATCAGATATTTATAAGTGTAAAAAACACAAAACTTTGAATTTTAGGTTGCAGTTGGTAGGTTGGTAATGTTGGAAAATAGGGAGGAGGAGCACTCTCAGTGACTCATTTTCTCTTGAAGACAAGTGGAGGAAGTGGTTCTCCTATACTTCACTCTACTTGCTTTCTCAATAAATAATGCTCTTTGAAGACAAGTGGACTTTTACCAACTTGACTTCATTTTGGCTAATCAAAAATAGCTATTATATCTGAATATTTTTGTAGGACTATCCTAGCATGTACCTATCATATTTTTTGGTCAAATGTACCTAGTTCAGTACATTTACCATCATTTATTCAATTCATTCCCATTTTTCTCAAATACATGTATTCAACTATACATATGTCCTAACATTAATATCCTAAGTACATGAACTAACTAAATTTATGTATCACACAAATCATAAACTCCTCTCTTTCAAGTGTCAAGACAATGTTCACATTTCAACAGGTAAGACCCCTATTTTATCCTCTCCATATCCTCCATATTAACAGTTAGGTGCTTGCTTCAGAAGTAAAATGACAGTTTATCCATCTGAAGTATTTTAAGGGTTCTATTTCCTGCCAGACAAGAGATAGGATAAAGGGCAAATAAGGTTATCCCACATTTAGTAGAAAAAATAACATTCCAGACTGGCCTTAACTTCAACTTAGTTATCCGCAAACTTTCAAATGATATTTTTTTTTTATTTTTGACTTAAAAAAAATGTAAAATGAGAATGCACAAGGACTATAAAATGTTAATGTAATTATATCTAGGAGAAGAAGGAACCAATAATGTTAGAAGATGTGAGAAATAAGGTAATTCCTATATTATACACCCTTCTGGTAAGTAAAGAATCTTGCTTCTCAATTCAATCAAAGATCTTGATCAAAGATCTTGCAAGATATATGTATATATAAACTGAATACAAAATAAGGCAAAGAGAGATTACCCCACTGAAAACGAATATCTCCAGAGTCAGCATAAAAGAAATACAAGAAGGACATGTTAGTTCCTTGAATTGTATCGAATTCTTTATCAATCATTAGTACAAGTAACAATGAAAAACCACCTCATGAGCCCAAAATGATCCTTTTTCGTGATGACAAGTTGAGGTGGCCTTGCAACTAAAAGAAGGCCAGTACTTCTTCATAGGCTTACGCAATGTTGAAATCTACAAAATGAATGGATATCTAAGCTCAAAAGACAATGTTTCAGACTCAGTGCTGGTGAATATTTATATAAATATGCAGTAGGAAATGGATGTCCCTTAGAGTTGAAGAAATAGAAGCTTCTTTATTCAGTCCCATCTGCTGAATTCTCAATATTCAAAATTAGCACAGATCCTTCTGTAAAGAACTTCCAGATGCTCATATTAAATATATTACTAATCAACTTGCCAGCAGAGATATTGATAGGCTTAACATTCTAACTGTATCTGCATACTTAAGCCAGAACTGTGATACCATTTCCCAGCAAAAATCCAAGGCAAGGACCTTAAATCAGTATCTTGAAAGGAGAAAGGCATTTAAAAGCTCCATAGCCCGCTAGTGTCAAGCACAAAGCTCTATTAAACTGCCCATTTTAGTGAAGAAAGAGCAGATGAAAGAGGTACCGAAATAATATAAATGTAATGCAATAAAAATAACGATAAAGGCAAGCAACAGTTATAGAGATTTACTGGCATGTATAGTTATTGTTTGACGATGTCTGGTCTGTGATAGAACCCATCGGTTTTGAGGAACATGTCTTAGCACATTGGTGCTGCATTGAACAACAATTGAGCGGGGTGCAGCACCTACGCGGGCTACGCCAACCATACACTCAGCTTCAGGGCTTAAACACGCCTTTACAACGCTGAGTTTTTTTGTTTTTCTTTTAAATATGAAAAGCCTTTACAATACTGTCTTATATCTAACAACAAAGGGTAGTCCAAAATCACTAACAAGAGCACATTAACTTTAAGGATTATCCCATTCATACAATTCAAAAAGTTAGACACTTGTTTGGATGAAGTATATCTTTCTGTTGAAATTATATTTTATATCTCTGAATAATCACAAGTTAATACAAAATACATTGCAAATCAAGTGTTACAAATAATGCATGCAATACACATGAAATTTTTGATAATAAAATTCAGAAAAGACATCCTTCTATATTAAGGCAAAGTTCAGGATTGATCAAAGGAGACTGAAAAAAGAAGCAGCACTTTAAACTTATAGCCAGTAGAATGAAATGAATGTTCAAACAAACAGATTGTACACCATGAAAGGCAAACTTATATGCAATCTAAGACTCTTCAACTAAAACCAGAAATAGGAATGAATGATCAGTCACAAAAATGCAAGTATGATGCTAGTAGTACATCAGGTTACTTTGCCGAATCCTAATTTCCGGAGTTATAAGCTTTGGGAACCTCCTTATGAATGGATAACAACGTTTGCAAATCCAAACAGTTCACATTTGTCTTAAAATTCTTCATTTGTTTGAAACTTATTCTCTGTGACAAGCGTTTCTGGATTTGGAGTCAACATGTTTTGACAAACAATATAAACAGATCTTCAGTTACATAATTCCCTATTAAATCCCACCAACACTTGCAGATGGGTGCATTATGGGTATGAATTATTGTAGCCTTCACAGCCAATAAACTGCTTTACCGTCAAAATATATGAATATATTTTGGGAACAAAAGCACGCGCCCATCTTCCATGAAAGAGCATGCTTCAGGTGTTTAACTAAACATTAACAGTTCTACCAATCAATTCTCCCTTCAAACCGGTATATATCTAAGCAACAACAGTTCCACCAGTTAAGTTTCTCTCCAAACGGTCCTCACGGAATAAAAAGGTGGTCCGGGGAACAGGGTTAGCAATATACCTGCTCCTTATCAAATTGGGGGCCAGAACAACATGCAGGCCACGTTCCGTCATTGTAATCAGCCCAAAGTCCATCTGAAGCAAGAGAAACCTTATTCAATTCTACCTCTCACATTGCACAACATGAAAACAAAATATATATACATCCTTCGCAACCGGAATAACTTACGAATAGTGAATATTGATGGTGAGTTTGAGCTGAAAAAAAAAACAGACAAAAAAAGGTAAGCCTCTGCTTTCAAATGTCATGAAACCCTTACAAAACACACAACTAGCTTAAAATTCCTTAGACGTGATATAATTTTACAATCTGAGAATAAATAGGCAAAATGAAGAAATCAATCGACAATTAGTCTAATTTTACAATCTGCCAATCAGCTGAATAACTAAGTTCTGCGAAAAATCATTTGAGATATGAAAGAAGAATAAAGAGAAGTACCGGCAACAGGCATTGGAAGAGCAACATTTGGTGGTATTCCGGCAAGCCGTGCCAGGCCATAAGAGAGATAGCTTGAAGTAATCAAACTCTCTCTGGTGTCCGGTTTGCCTGCGTAGCAATCCTTCTTCCACATCCCAACTACCGTTGATTCGGATAACGGAAAAAGCTCCGATGAGCAAAGGTAGCAATTGCATACAGAAAACCGCTTTGATTTTAAGGGAAGCCATTGCTCCGGACACTTATTATCTGTAAAAACTTCCAAGATCTCTCTCTTCTCTAGTACGGAGAAAATATAGTCTCCGGGATTGCCCGCTTCGAAGATCAGCGGCGGAAGACGGCGGAGTTAAGATCGTTGACGGAGGAAGATAATTTCGCGGTTAATTCTAGATTCTGTCATACTAAGCATCTTTCTAAGTTACTGTTTAATTAAATAAACTACTATTTACAGTACACTAATCCAGGTTTATAGTAAAATAAACCTTTCGTTCTTTTTTACTTATTTTGCTCGTAATTGGTACCCCTATTAAAAATAATAATTGAACACTATTATTTTATTATACTCCTATAAAATTGACGTTTAGATTAGTCTTTGAAAAATGATTTGAGAATGAGTAATTAGTATCGAATTAAAATATGTAAAAAAATAATAATTTTGATATGTTGAAAGTGACAAGTGAAAGTAAAAGATTACTTTTAAAATAACGGATAAGTAATGAAATAAAAGTGAACGAAGGAAGTAAAAGGTGATCATTTCAAAAAGTATCTGAATTAAGATAAGTAATTTTACGTTATTGACATGTTAGAGTTAAACACTCTTAAAATGTCATCAATTTACTAATTTTGCATAATTTGATCAACAATTTATTTCTCTATGTTATGAATTTGAATTATAGAATCAATCGTTAATGCTTAAAATATATGACTTGCATGATATATTGAGTGTGGTCTCTTTAATATTTTTTTTTTTAATGAAAAATTTTGATATAGTAATAAAGTTTATGTTTACGTGACTTACAAGCCACTTACTGAAATTATACTTAAATCAAGATAGATTGTTTATTCTTTACTAAGGGTTGGTTATATACAATTTTATGAGATTCATGTCGATTTTTGGAATCAAATGAAGGTCAAAAGACCACTTGATTAACTAAGGGACATACTGACATCTTCGCTTAATGCTATTTTCAGATTTAGCAGTTTATTAGGTCATGTATAATTTCAATCTAAATCAAACTCTTCATTGTTTGAGTTAGTTCCGAACTCGTACATTGAAGATCTCATTCGTTTTTGATAAATGCAGAAATTTTCGTTCATCTAAATGAAGATTTATCTTTCTTAGTTCTGAACACGTACATTGAATATCTATTTATTTTTGATAAATGCAGAAATTTTCGTTCAATTAAATGAAGGCTTATCTTTCTTACAAAACATCATTGAATAACATTATTTAGTTATTGTAGTAGCTACCAATAACCACTGCCATTTTTCACATTTTTTGTTAACTTATGTAAAATAGAGAAAATGGCGAAATACCGTTCTAATTTATTAATCAATTCTCAATTACGCATATATATCTTGATATTAGTGGATTTTATTTGAGGCAAAAATTAAAATAAGTTGAGTCGAAATTACTATAAACTCCTCCAGAAACCAGGTCAGACAGGGGCAATTAATGTCAACATCACACAGAGAAGAAACAGAGTCACGACATCGCCAGTAAAATAAAATATAAATATTACGATGTCGCAATAATAATAATAATAATAATACGCCGTAATTGGTGCCAATATTTTTTCAACTCTGTGAAATTGCCAAATTAGGGTTTCTCTTGGTTCAATTATACGGAGCTTACGGTGAATTTTTGCAAACCCTAAGCCCTAAATTTCGATTATTTTGATTCAGGAGAATCTTCAATTGGAAAACAGACGAGCTTCGTTCTTCAATTGGATTGGATACTCATCAGTTTGATCGAGTAAGCTATTTTTTCGTAGTTGGAGATTTGAATTCTCTATGTACTGATGTTAGATTGTGAAAGGGATCACGTAGTCATTAACTCCAAAGATCAATGTGTTTCGTCATTGATATTCAGATATATTGAAATTATGAAGCTCAAATTGTAATCGAATCAGCTTTTAATAAAAAAAATTTCTCTATTGTAAGTTGAGGTCAGGTCAACTCAGCTTATTTCTCCAACAGAAAGAGGTAAGTTGAGGTAAGTGTAATTCTCTCATCTTTCTGTTGGAGCAGTAAGTTGAGTTTTTTTCTTCTTTTTTCATTTTTATTGCTTAGTCTTGTCAAGGATCAAAGTGTTAATTTGAGTTGCATTCCTCAAGTGAATTATTGAAAATAACTAATCTTTAGGCTGAAAAAACTGGTTTGAGTTGCATGTGTGAAGTAACTGTTGGAAAAACCCATTCTTTAGGCTGGAAAACTGTTTTGAGTTGCATTTGCAAAGTGACTGTTGGAAAATTTTTTAATCTATAGGCTTGAAAAACTGTATTAGTTGCTTTTTTGAAGTAACTGTTTGAAAAAAACTAATCTTTAGGCCAATTATACACAATTTAGTGAGAGGCTGGACTTAGTGCAGTAGATAACATTTTCAGTTACTATAGACAATTTTTGGGACACTATGCACTCTAAATAACATAGCTGCCATTGTACACGGGAGACGCTATTCTTACGACCAATCTGAGTTTATTTTTTCCCTTTTCCTTATTATTTACTTCAATTTTCTTTTTGTTGTATCTATGCTTGATCAAATAAGACCTCCCCATTCACTTGAGAGTAGAGGTATAGAAATTGCATATGAAATGATCTCTCTGCCAGCTTATATATAAGTTCTCCTTAGTTGAACAGATAAAATCTGTCTTTCTTTCTGTTAGTGTCGCTTTTAGCACCGTTTATCTTTACTCTTGGTATTCTGGTTTGAACATAGGCGGTAGTAGCCCCTGCCAAATCCATGACATTAATGCAGTATTTATTTGAAAATGATTCTGACAAGGTTTATGAGCTCTATCATTTTGCACTATGGTTGTATTATGGTTACATTCTCCCAATTGTCCTCCTCCAATGCCATTTTGTTTGCATTCTAGTCATATGAGTAGATTGACCTTTGCTGCAATAAGATATTTCTGGATTGTCTTACCTACTGATGCTATCCAGGAAATAATGCTCTATTTATATACTTGGTGCTGATTGATGGATCCAGATAGCAAGAATTTTGGAAGAGGTAAGACTTTTACATGTTTACCTTTCTCCTGAAAAAATAAAAATAGGGACATACAGTCTCCTTGCTTGTTACACATCTTGACTACTGCATGTCTACTCATGCGACTAGTATGCAATTGATGAAGAATGCTATTTATTGCATCCATAGGCTCAGAATTAAGGTGAATGTGACACATTGATTGATATTCTTGTTCAGACTCCTGATGACGAATTTATTTGCTGCTGAAATTTTGTTTTATAGTCCTATTGCTCTAGTTCTTACTTGCAGGAAGTAAAGTTATTGTTTTATTGCCAACTCATTTAGGGCCAAGAGAACTCACAGGTGCTCGCGATCTTATTAGTCACTTCAAATTGTTGCCTCATTATGAGTTCTTTGGTAAGAGGTCGCTTCCATTGTCAATTTCCGATACACATTATCTTCATAATGTGGTTGGAGACACCGAAATTAGGAAAGGTGAGAAGATGCAGTTGGATCAGCTCACGCAGGATACTTCCTTTTCAAGAGAGACAAGTTCATGTATCCGGCCCTTTGACTTAGATGTCCTTAGAGAAGCCTTCCAACTACGTGAAACGGCTCCAGTCAATTTGTCTCCTGTAAGATATCTGCTTTTGAATTTGGATGATTTAACTCCATTTGTACACCTTCTTCTAAGCAACACTCTTATCCTTTATGATTTCTGAAGTTGGAGCTTTTGAATAGGGTTTCCTCATATGATGTGCTGAAACATAAATTGTTTTTTTCCTGTTATAATTGTTGCTGATCAGTAGGTCTTTTCATGGTGTTTGATAGTCTGACAAAGGCACCCCCACTATAGCTGGAAAATCTAAGAGCGAGATGAAAGACAAGGAGAAGAAGGAGAAGAAGCATAAAAAACACAAGGATAAAGACAAGGAGAAGGACAAAGAGCATAAGAAGCACAAACATCGTCATAAAGATCGGAGTAAAGACAAGGACAAAGAGAAAAAGAAAGATAAAAGTGGCCACAATGATCCTGGTGCTGAGCATTCAAAGAAACATGAAAAGGTATGCTGTCATCTTAACTCAAATGATTTTGTTTCAAGAATGATGATTCTCATGGTATGTTGTTACTTTTGAATATTGTCTTAGGTTCATGTTCAGAAGTTTAGAAGACTGGTTCAACATTATCTTAACTAAGTAAACTCTTTTGAAGTGTATGAAACTACAAATTTCACAACAGGTCTCAGTACCATTGGGCTGACTGTTGCACTTGCTTTTTTGAATTTATACTTGATAATTTAATCCATTTGTACATTATCCTTTTTTTTACAAGTTGCCTCTCTATGATCAAGTGGGAACAATGTTGAGACTAATTAAGGTTCAGCTTCCTAGGCACGAGCATGAGGTCTTTGAAATGAACTGCCACTTGACTTTTAAGTTATTGAGGCGATAAGTTGTTGAGTCTGGCCTGATTCTGTTTAGTTTAGTGATACATATATTTTAACTTGGTAAAATTCTGATCCACTCCTTTACTCTAAGAATAACCTAATGTGTGTAATCTACTTAATGCGGTGTTGACTATATAGTTTTTCTCTCTGATAGTTTGATACTTCTTTTTTTGTTATAAGTTCTTTCCGGGTGGGACCTATAAAAATTTTTTTTGCCGGGTGGTACTTAACTATTGAGTTGCTTTGTGGAAAATTCACCCTTGGAATTTGGCACTCAAAGAGTCATACTTCACTGTAATAAAACGGATAAAAGAACTCATTGATTTTGATCTTTTTTCTTAAACTGATTTCAGAAAAGGAAGCATGACGAGGAGGATCTTAACGGTGTCCACAAACACAAGAAAAGCAAGGTAACTAAAAAATGTTGGATTCATATAATATTTTTCTTTACTATATTTTGAACCTTCTTTTTGAGGAAAATTATAAATATGCAAACGTTAGTTCGTGCTATAAATTCATGTACACAATCTAAATCTTACACTTAGTATACATTCATTCACCTTTTACTAATTTTCCCTTCATCTTATCTGATTAAACGTTGCAGCACAGGAGCTCAAAGCTAGATGAGATTGGTTCAATAAAGGTAGCTGGCTGAATTGTGCGTGTGGTTGTATAATTTATGTTGTCCCAGATTTTGTAGTTGAGAATTTGGAGGGTTCCTTTATTTAGAATTGTGAAATATCAGAAGTTCATGTCCTGATCAATTCATTTGTTGAAGAACTTTATGGCATGCGCTGGTGTTGACATCTGTATCTTTATTTGAGTGAGACTGTTCCTGGGAAAAAAATTACTGGTCAGATGCATCGAACTTTTTTGTGTATTCATGATTGCAATCTGGCGGTTTTGATTTATATAGTTCAGTTTTCCCTCCCTCTTCTAAATAACCACCATGAAAAAGTAGGCATGCATCTAGTCTGGCCTCGACAGTGTGAAAGGAGGCATCTGCATGTCTGACAAAATGTTTTCCTGCCTGTTTCGTATATCTGATAAAAAAATTTCTTCTCATGGAAGTCAGGTGGAACTATCTTATACTCCTTTATCCTTTTTTATCTATCGTTTAAAGTTTTGGCACACGCATTGAGAAAACCATTTGCTATCATTAACAGAATGATAAGGGATATTTGACTAAGTTACCTGTAGCTGTTTCCCAAATGATTAGCTATTGACTATATCCGCCCTATTAGAGTAGTAAAGCTGGAACTGGAAAAAGAAATTAACCCTTTCTTGATTTCTGAAATGATAAATATTTTAGAACAATTTTTTTGGATAAAGAAGTTCACAATAGAAACAAGAAAGCATATCTTGGAAAATTTTAAACATTCATGAAACGGTTTGCTGTTAGAGATTCATTTTCATCTTGCAAAAAGACGGCGGAAAAATGTGTTATTGGTGCAGCCTCAAACTCATTATGGTAAGGTGGATATGTGATCATGGAAGTGTCTGAGGTGCACTGTCCTTGAGCATAAAAGATGTAAACTTTTGTCTGTGCTGTCCTGAATGTGCTGGTGGAGATATAAGGTGAAACTGGTCAAGGCTAGTTGGAAAAGAATGGAAGTTTCTAACCATACTGGAGTACTGCTTACATCAATAAAGAAAAGCAACAGAAGTTATCAAATGATATGCCTAACTCTTTAAGGTATTTTTTTATCTTCTATTTATTTATTATTATTTTGGCTCATTGGGATCAATTAATAATTATGTATACTTCTTTTGGGATGATTTTTTTGTCTCCAGTCTACATATGTATGTGTGTGCATATTAGTACTATACATTTTCAGTTGTGTGTTGTTGAAAATTGATCCCCTGATTAAGATGTGTCAGTAAACAAGTAAATGAACTGGACCAACTGAGCAACCATATCTTTTTTGCAAGTAACTGAGTATCTATTGAAGGAGGATCCTCTCCAACTTTGATGATGAATACGAGTTGGAACTTGGAAATTTGGCTACTTTAAAATGGATTTATGTGCAAGTCTCATGCACAAAAAGGAAGTCGTAACAAGTTCCCCGTCCTCCCGATGTTTCATCAACTTTGCTATTAGAATAATGGTGGAAAAAATTACTGAATAGCTGGTGGAATTATAAGAAAGAGAAATTGTAAGGTTTATATGTGTGTGTGTGTACAAAGGCTAAAAAGGACATGCTTGATGAGTATGCAATATTTGAATTAAGAACAACTTGCAGTGGTTGAAAGGTAGAACTTCTATTCAAATAAGCGTCCTGTTCAATCACTGCATCATTCTGAGTTTCACCTTAAACCGGTTTCTATAATGATCATCTGTTTACGCGCAACTAATGATTTTACAGTTTATTTGTTCATTACATATGCTGCTTAACATTGAAAACACATTTCGCCTCATTTGGAATTGAAAAGTTATTAGGTTTTTCTATATTAAGAAACATGTCAAGTGCTTTGATCTTTTTATGCTGTATTCAGTACTTCTTCTGTTGTGGATTTAAGGTCTCTGTGGCCTGATGTTCTTCACAAGGTAACTTTTCAATTCCTAATTTGGAGTGAAATGAAATGGAACGTTGGCACTGTGTGGAATTTTCATCACAAGCAAAGCATTTGAAGTAGTAATAAGAAAAGGGTAGTGTCAATAATCTTTTGTATTGGGCTTTTTGTTATTTTCCCTCTTTTTTTTCATGTATCATCTGCCAGTTTACTTGATGTAGTGTTCTTGATATCAACTTGGGTTCTTTACTAATAGCAGAGGTGCTGATTATAGTACTTTCTGTAGCTTAATATTTCTTGGCTTCCTGCATGCAGAATAGCCTCAGGATGAATTAGTTAAACGTCGTCATATATTATGGGCTCCCATTAGTTGGCAGTGATGGTGAGGAACTTGATCCATCTCCAGGTTTAGCAAGTTGCTGCATGCTGTTGTATGATTTTATGTTTCTCTCTTTTGAGGGCTCTTATCTCAAGGTTCAGTCCTAACCATTCGGAGCTTTGGGTAATAAAATGGGAAGGTTGAGATGAATGTTAATCTGCTCTTCTGTCATTTGTCTTCTCCATTGAGTTTGAAGGTTAACTTCTCAACAGCATTAAGCATCTGCAAAGAATTTTTTTAAAAAGGTGTCTCTTTATGGTCATGAATGGAATCTCTTCTTGTATATACTAGGATAGAATGAGATACATAACTCCTTTTTTGATGAAATCAAGATCTATTTTTTGTGTTTGGCCAATTTTATCTGTGTTGAACTTGGCTAAGCTAATTGTTACATGCTCCTAGTGATCAACATGTAAATTTTTGGCTTTTCTATTCGAATCATGGACTAAAATGTAGCCCTACTGCAATGTATGAGAAGTTTATATAAATAGGCAATGGAGATGATTTGGACTCAACTTTAGGCACTTACAATTGACTTGTGACCATATTGGTTTCGTTATTTGATCAAGGTCATGCTTGAATGCTTCTTTTGCTAGTCCGGTTGTTTGACCCAAGAAGCATGTCAATTCTAGTTCATTACTGATCTTTGACAGAAAAGAGTGAGTATTTGCTAGGTTCCTAGTTATAGCTGTAGTATATGTTGCTCGAGATGTTATACTCGTGTCAGATCCTCAAAAAGTACACTACCCCTTTCAACTTTGCTAGAGGAGTCTGAGTTCTCATGACAGAATGAGCATTGGTCCATAATTCAAATTTTGAATTGAACTAGTTATGATTATGATGATAAACAAAAATTGGAGCAGTTGTGTTGTATGAACAATAATGAAGGGAGCAGTAGTCTTTGTTGCCATAGATTCATTGCATGTAATTTGGTATGTGTACAGTTTAAGTAGGAAGCAAAAGCAGCTGTTATTAGGCTGGAAGAACATGTATTGACAAGTCACATCTGGATTTCAATTTTTTGTTTATAACTGCCGGTACATTGCATACATGGAGGAATCTTTCGCAATGTCATATATAAAAATAAAGAATTTAAGTTATATACACCGATGATAATAAGGTAAAATTTCATTTTTACCAAGTGATTAATGATTGATTATCATAGCGATTCACTTGTGAGTTGTAACTATCTTACAGTGACTCTGATTGTGTGAAAATATTTTACTCTTTTTTGACCCCTTTTTGCTTTGTCTTTTGTTTTCACTTTTCCATTTCAGTATTTCTAGAGATTTGACATCATTGTTCATTAATATTAATAGGATAATTAACACTTTTTTTTTGTGAATTAGATTGTGTTACTGCAGAAAAAACCTTTTTATGCTACGCTCCTAATAAAAAGTCATTAGCCACATCAAATCAAGAAAAAGACAAACTAATCAACTAAGATATAGTCATGACATGAGTCTTATATTATTAGTATCTAATGCTGGAGGAGAGACACGGGGGGAAAGGATGGGGGAAATCCTCCAGAGTGCGGATTTAATTCAAAACAGATATATTACACGATGACAAGCAAGAGTAAGAGTCATCTTGAATTAATTTTATCTTTTAAGTGTTTTTATGTTAAATTAAACTTTTAAACTCTTTTATTGTGTTGGAGTAAAATCAAAAACTATTTTAATCACTTAATTTTAAGTTAAACACAAAAATTAAGTCTTAAAACTATGGAGGCTCTTCATCAAATAAATAATTAAATTCACCACTTTGGTATTATTAATCAATCGTTATTAATTCCATATAAAACATACTACTAATGTTAAATTATTAATCGAGTGCGATGCTGAATAGGTGCAATAATGATGGAAGATTTTCTTTTAAAAATTATTTAAAGTACGGACAAATTTTAGATCATACAAAGGGGGAAAATGATAGAAAGATAAAAAAAGGTAATTATATAAAGAGAGATTCTCCACTAAAGTTTTTTTTGGTGTTTTAGGGCCTTTTTTTTTCTTTATCTTTTGGTATATTAATTGTAAAACGACTTCCAACTTTATGCAACGATAATGTTGATAATTATTGCAGTCAGTCATAAAAAATTGTCTGATATACTAAGCTTTTATTGTCGCAGAACTCAAAAATAAATCAGATTAATAGAAATTATTTTTACGAGTGAGATATGAAAAGAATAAGATGTACGTGTACACGAATTTAATTTTTATCTTTATAAAGTAAAAAAAATAAAATTTGATAAATATCGACTCAAAAAAATTATTTCTGGGACAAACTTTTCCAAATTGTTTACATATCGAACGGCTAGTAGATTCTTCTAACTTTTTTACTTATGTCATTGAGATATCATTTTTATCTTTTTTGTTACTTTAATACTTTATCATTTGTACTAAATAATTAAAATTAGTGACAAATAGTAATTATTATTGTGCTTAAATGATTAATTGTGTCTCTTACAATTATTTTGTTTAGTAAATAAATAGGAGCCTATATATGTGTCCATGCATTTAGCTCTACATTATTGGAAAAGTATTTGTCCTAAAGTCTAAAGACATTTTTTTTAAAAAAAAAGTTTGGTCTCAAATGATAATATATACAAACTTTATATTATAAGAAACAAATATAACAATAATGGGAAACTTGTCCAAAATTTTATTATATAGTTTATTCTTATTTTTCTGAAAGGCCTTTTGCATGTTTGTGAGTGTCCAAAATGGTTACTTCTTCCAATTCCATGAACTGATGAAGTGCTACAAATTCACATGATAATTGGACTCATTTGTCAGTTGTTTTTATGTTATCAGTAATCTCTCTGTCTCAATTTATATAATATTATTAATATAACATAGGTAATTATTTTTTTTCAAAAAATTGTAATTAATATCATTAATATGACATACTAAAATTGTGATTCATTTTAGTAAGGTGTACATTGATTCTTGATATATTCTCTTCACTATATCCTTCTTCTTTTTATCTGGATTTATTGTACTTAATTCGAGAATTTTTTAAAAATAATATATTTTTTTTCACAAAGTAATAATAAAATCTACGTATATTCTATCATTTCCAGATAACACTTATGAAATTTAATCACTGGTTGTTGCTGAGGATAATTTGTATGGTTATAATTTTTTCTATTATAAAAAATTTAAAATATAAAATTGCGTCATTTTCTTTTAGACAAAAACAAAAATTGATAAAAGTGTGATTGAGTACTAGATTATTACTTTATTCGGTCCCAAATATTACCACTTCTTTTGGACTTTTAGCAAAAGATAAATTTGTTCTAAAATATCTAAAAGATTTTTTTTTTCTTACAAAAAATCACTATTATAACTTCAATAAGTGAAGTATTAGTTAAATAAATGAGAAATATTATACGGATAGAAGATAATAAATGCATTAAAGAAATAGATCTACCTATCATCAGAAAACATTTAATTTATTTACTTATGTTTTGTCCGTTACACAAAAGTCTTCTCTAAAAATTACAATTTGCAACTTTTTACTTTTTAACTAAGAATTGTTGGTGTAATACATTAGTGTATAAAATAATTTTAAATATCCTTTTTATCTCCCACAAAAATTCGTATAAATTTTATATTTTTCAACATTGTAAAAGTTTTGTGTCTATAAAAAATTTAAATCTATAAAAGAAAAATGGATTATTTTCTCTTTGTTAACCTTGATTTTGATGATTCATTTTGAAACATAATATAATGTGCATTATTACTAGTTTATATACCTAACGTACGTGGGAGGTGATTTTATGTTGATTTAAATATTGGATAAGGAGAATACTAATGTCTATGAAGTTTTAAAAAATTATATTTTTTGGTTGTATAAAAATATTATTTGTAAATCATTGTCGGCCACATTCTTCTGTATAGTCAAATTATGCTGCTTTTTTTTTTTAAAAAAATAATTGTATAATCCTACTGGTGTCTTCTAGGAATATATATTTACTACTTCAATTTATTTATAATCAATAAAATAATATTAATGCAATGTAAGTATGAACCATGCAGCGCAGCATCCAAAATCCACTACTAATTAATAAATTAATAAATCACATTGTGTTTTCTGTTCTTTCAAGAAAATTAATCAAGTTTAAATTATTGTTCGTCTACAATTTAATAATGTCATTATGTATTTAAGAAAATAACTTTTTATGGTGCTTCACCTACACCCCCCCCCCCCTTTTTTTTTACATCCACTTCCATTTCTCCACAAAACGGATTCGAACTCTAAATTCGCGAGTGATGCGCTTCATTCTATACTATTTATGGGTGCATCGTTAACTATACTTGATTTTTGTTAGTTTCTCAAAATAGATACGCATATGTACATATGATTATTAACGAAATTAATGAGTTCATGTGTATCCTCTCGTATGAATGTGGATCTACCTCCGCTTTTATTTGACTGAGTAACACATCCAAATCTATTAAAATTGTGTTGGTGTTTGAGATATGACACTTGTGTCTGACTCAATCCCAAAAGCTAACTCGTGAGGAGACTTTTAAGGAGATCACTCGTCCATTCTCCAATCAATGTAAAACTTTTATCCACTCTAACAGTGTGATAAACACTTTTTCACTGATAAGCTGAGGTTCAAGTTGCTTTAGTATACAGTTGCCTTTATTAAATGTTAAAAAGTTAAAAGAATTTAATTTTTGATTGATAATTTATTAGTATTTAGAAAATTCTAAGTCACTTGTGTTGGTGTTAAGATATGACATCTGGACTGACTCAATATCAAAAGTTAGTTTATGCGGAGATTTTTAAGGAGATCACTCGTCCATTTCTCAATCAATGTGAAATTTTTATCTACTTTAATAGTGTGATAGACACTCTTTCATTCTAAACCAACGATTCAAATTGCTTTTAGTATAAATTATCTTTATCCAATATTAAAAAGTTAAAGAATTTAATTTTTGATTGACAATTTATTATTTATAAAATCTAAATCACTTTAAAAACATTAAAATACAAATCAACAATTCATAACTTGTTAGTACTTTTTAAATTTAAAAGCGTTAAAATATAAATTATCAACTACTATCTAATTTTGAACACTTATTAATAGCGAATGAAAGGGGCCACTTACAACTTATGAGATACGGCGTTATATCGTTACATAAATATCACTTCACTACAATCGGTATCGCTGTCTTCTTACCATTTTTATTAATGTTAATTTATATTAAAGTTACATAATTAATTATGAATATTATATTTTTTATATAATTTTAAATGTAATTATGATAAATTAGTTTCACCAGAACCACAGGCAGTGAGCATTGTTGCTCACCCAGCAGCTGAGAATAAACTTAGCTGGAT